AATTTCTACACGAGTTATTTGCTTCCTCATCTTGTTCAGCCAGGCATGAAGGTCCCTCCGAGGGACAAGGTTACAATTTTTGGCGACGGGAATACTAAAGGTCTGTTGAAATATTAAGAATTTGTGGCTCATTGATGTATTTTTTGACTTGCTACTGCTGTTTAGTGGTGTGGTTTGTCTGCAGGTGTTTTTGTGAAGGAAAGTGATGTTGCTGAGTTCACTATCAGGACATTGGATGATCCGCAAACGTTGAATAAGGTGTTGTATTTGAGGCCACCTGGAAATGCGTACTCAATTAATGAACTTGTTGAGCTTTGGGAGAGTAAGATTGGGAAGAAGCTGGAGAAGGTATTTGTATCAGAACAAGAGCTTCTTAAGAAAATTAAAGGTATTTTTCTAGTTTATACTATTTGAGTATTCAAAATGTTTGCTAGGTTGCTTTCACGACGCATATATGACATTTCTGTTGAGGGTAGGGACAAAAAAGAAAAATAGAGGAAAGAAAATAGTTGAGATTAAAGTGCATTTCATGGCCAAAACCTATAGAAATCAAATCATATTGTCACCAATTAATCTTGTAAGTGGTTGGAGTTGGTCAAGATCTCAATGTGATACACGTCAAGTTTTATGTAGGGAACCTTTGCTCGTGTTCATTACCTTTGGGAGGCCTTCACATAAAATCATTGACTCTAGACATATAATAATATGGAGAAAATAGAATTGTTAAGCACCTAAAGAACTATAAGAACCCATTGTTTCAAACAAAGGACAGGTTATTCGCATCTCATTTGATGGTTAGAGGCGAATTGAAAGCTAAGCTGTTCTTTGCTCCCAGTTTCGGTGTAACAACTATATTTTGAGTCATCGTTTGGGAGCTCAAGGCTCTAGAAACCCTAGCAGCACAAGGTCCTAAGCTTAGCAACACGGCTGGCTTACATGGCCAGCAAAGTTGTCTGCTAATGTGCCGGTCACTTTGTTCTTTTTTTATTATTAGTTTGTTTTGGGATTTATAGGTGCAAAGTGAGATTCAAAAGAAATTACACTACACAAGAATTTACAGGGGAAAGAATAGATGGAAATGAAAGAAACATGTATGCAGATTGATGTGGTCCAACAAATTCTTTCGTACGTCAAAGAGAGATCTATGTTCTTCACTATGAGAAATATAACGTGTACAAGACACAGAGAGCTACTTGTAGGATTGATGGGTCATGAGCTTAGCTATATTTTTAATAGGTTTGTGTTAATGGCAGTAACGTTTGTGAACCATTTCCAATTCACAATCAGCCGTGATTAATCTTGGTAGAGTCTTTACAATTGAAATTGTTGTTTGGATATAACTTGGATTTGGATCAGAGAAATTCCCTTAGGTTGAAGCTTTGATACCATGAAAAATAGAAGAATCCAGAGGAAAAACAAAAATATTGAAGTTTTAAAGTACAAGAAAAAAATTTATGTTTCAGAGAAGAAGTTTTCGCATTGGTTTCGTTAAACAGCATTTACAAGAACAACACAATATATGGCTGAAACGGGTTAGAATTTATTACAAATTAGTTATAATGATTTTGCACCAACAATCTTCAACCATGATCTGTTTGACTGTTTGATGTACAGCTGGATGGCCTACTGACATGGCCGCCATCCTGTCTGCTGATGTGGCAGTCATTTTGTTCTCTTTGATTATTAGGTCGTCTCTCTTGTTGTGATTGAAATCTTAATATATGGCTCTGCTGCCCTTTTTCATTATCAGCAGAGCTTAATTTGTATAACTGGAGCTTTGACGAGCTTTTTCTGTTAACTATTTGTACCATGAATAATTTTGCAGTTAACATTAGTTCTTCATTTTCTTTCCTAATTTGATACCAATAAAATGTGGCTTGTTGCATTGCAGAGACTCCATATCCTGACAACATGGAGATGATTTTTATATATTCTGCATTCGTAAAGGGAGATCAAACTTACTTCGATATCGAGTCATCCGGGGGTCTAGACGGTACAAAATTGTATCCAGAGCAGAATTTTACTACAATCAGTGAATATTTAGACACCTTATTGTAACAGCTTTTTTTACTCAATTCTTGAATCTTCATAACATTATTGATCCTATCTTACATTTTTCACTTTTTTTAGGCTGAGCTACATTTTTGATGCCTAGAGGATTCAATTTAACAAGCTCAGTAGTGTACTTGGATCTCCTTACAAATATATGTGAGTAGCACCATCTATTCTCATGGCCTCTTTAGTGTTGACTTGAAAACCAAATTTCCCCCCTTTTTTTTTAAGTCTTTCAGAGCTCGTAGTGCTCAGAAACTGATAATTCATTATTCAAACATAAAGAAAGTGGGATTCATATTTTATGACCAACTAAAGTTGTGAAAGTGCACCTCCATTATTGGTAATGGAGGGGGATTTTTCACGTTTGATTTTTTGTTTGTATTTTATTAGGGCATGGAGGTTTGTAGTTGGGACATCTTAGTCTTACAGTAAAGTAGAGAGAAATATCACTTGATCAATAGCTAGTTGGTAGTTATCTCGTTTGATTCAAAAGAGATTGACAAATAAAATTCTGATTTACTGAAAAATAAGTATAGTTTATTTTTGGAACTATGTTTCCTTGGTCATAAGATTTTGCTACTTATGGCATGGTTTCCTATGGGATTGGTAGGTTGCTTGACTCATAGTTGGGCAGGTCATCCATCCGTTGTGCCCAAAAAAGACATGTGCTTTGCTTAAAGGCCTATCTTCAGTCTTCACCACGTTATTCTTCTAGAACTTGGTATGCCTTAGTAGGTACAACAGCGATTGTGTGGGGTTACCTAGTTAGTCCTACTTATGATACTTACATTTCTGTACGTTATGTGCACAAGATTATTATACAACTCAATATGTAAATCTTAATGACTTGAAATACAACTCAACTTATCTTCCCACCCACCATGTAAATTTAAAAAAGGAAAAACTGAGACAACAACACTTTCTTTCGTCGCATGTTGAAGATAATAGCTTCTGGTTTTCCCATCATATAATGGAAGAAGAGATTTTGACCTTGAGCTACCTCCATCCTTGCCCAAGCTATAGGTTGTTGATAGCTTTCTCTTTATGCCTTCCTTGTTTTTTTGGTAGCAGATTGCCCAATTTCTCAAGCACTTCTTCATTGGCCATTGATTCAACTGCAACTTTTTACTCAAGTTTTGTGATTGTTCTATCAAATGCCTTCTTTTTAAGTCTAAGATAACGTTATGATTATATTTTTTCAAATTTACATGGTGAATAAGAAAATAGGATAAAGAAATGGAAATAGTAGCACTCTATCAGAAAGATAATCCCATTTTGTAGGTAGTTGCATGCCATTTTGCTGCAGCCCTTGGGTCCAATCATACGAATTTCTCCTGACTTGTGGAATCTAGACGGGTTATTGTGTTGAGGTACAGACATCTTTAACTTTTATGGCATTATTTCAAAACGTTTACCAGACTTGATTAATTAATTATATTCAAATTGTTTATATTCATTTGTGGAGTGACGGATCTAGAAATTTTCCTTTCGGAAGTTAACTTATAAAAACGCACAAATCTTTTTTGGACTAAAAAGACCCGTGAAACTGAAATGACATCCCGGTTCAGAGAGAGAGTTGAAGATGTAAAGGGAGAGAGAGTTGAAGTCGCGG